GTGTACACATCTCACTGTTGTCCAGGCTGGAGTGCAATGGTGGGCTCACAGCCACCACAGCCTCGACTGACTGAACTCAGATGATCCTTCTGCCTCAGTCTTCCAAGTAGTTGGAACTACAGGTGCACACCACCACACCCAGCAAATTTTTTGATTTACTGTAGAGATGGGGCCTCGCCAAGTTGCCCAGGCTGGTCTCAAAATCCTGGGCTCAGGCAATCCTCTTGCCTTGGCCTTCCAAAGTGCTGGGATTTCAGGTGTGAGCCACTGAACCTGACCCAAAGATATATACTTTTTTTTTTTTTGAGTCAGAGTCTCACTCTGTCGCCCAGGCTGTAGTGCAGTGGTTATGCTCATGGTCACTGCGGTCTGGACCTGCTGGGCTCAGGGGATCCTTCCGCCTCAGCCTTCCAAGTAGCTGGAACCACAGGCATGCACCACCATGTCCGGCTGATTTTTTTAAATTCTAGAGACAAGATCTTACATGTTGCTCAGGTTGGTCTCGAACACCTGAGCTCAGGTAATCTTCTCGCTTCCACCTTCCAAAGTGCTGGGATTACAGGCTTGAGCCACCGCGTCTGGCAGTATACACATTTTAAGAGTTGTTATCTATGTATTACTTTTGAGTTCACTGTAACCAGAAGTTGCTGGACACTGATGGTAACCACTTTGAGCACCTCTTGTAATTGCAGAGGTCAAATGTGACTTGTATTCATCTACAATTTTAATACAGTTTTTTTTCCTTTCTTAAAATGTGTATACATTTTTTTGACCCTCTGGATATAATACCGTTTGTGAGTAGAGCACATTCAGAATTCTGTTCAGCAGCTTGTACTTTTCATGTAACAATATGTCTTGGAAATCTTTTTTTGTTAGAACATAAGGCCTGACGTGGTGGCTCATGCTGATACTCCCAGCACTGTGGGAGGCCGAGATGGGAAGATCACTTGAGCCTAGGAATTCTAGACAAGCTGGGCAATATAGTGAGACCTCATTTCTACAAAAAATTAGCCAGGCATAGGTGCATACCTGAAGTCCCAGCTACTCAGGAGGCTGAGGCAGGAGGATCACTTGAGCCCAGGAGTTTGAGGCTGTGGTGAACTGTGATCGTTCCCACTGCACTCAACCTGGGTGACAGAGTGAGACTCCAACTAAAAAAAAAGAGCCCCGCCTCATTCTTTTTAATGGCTACATTGTATTCCATGAAGCAGTCCCCTGTCAATAAACACTGAGTGAGGGTTTTCTCAATCTTTTGCTGTTTCTGGGACTTGAGCATAAAGGATACACTTGCAAACAAACGCTGGGGTCAGCCCACCCAGCACTGTGTCCCAGTACCTCTGCTTACTAGCAGTGTGAGCTTGGACAAATTACTTACCCTCTCTGTGCCTCCATTTCTGTATCTAAAATGAGAATAATGACCGTAACCCTGGTGTTCTGTGAGGATTCCAACAATACACACCAAGCACTTAGAATAGTGCCGAGAGAAGGCTGGGCATGGTGGTTCATGCCTGTAATCCCAGCACTTTGGGAGACTGAGATGAGAGGATTGCCTGAGCCCAGGTATTCGAGACCAGCATGGGCAACTTGGTGAGATCTCATCTCTACAATAAATAAAAAAAATCAGCCGGACGTGGTAGCGCACACCGATAGTTCTAGCTACATGGAAGGCTGCGGTGGAAGGATTCCCTGAGCCCAGCAGGTCGAGGCTGCAGTGGCTGTGAGTGTGCCACTGCTCAAAAAATATATATTTAGTGTTGAGTGTGTCATAAACCTCAGCGAGTTTTAGCCAGTTTGATTACTGTTGCAATTATAGTTATGTAGGTAATTTTCCATGTACTTATGTAGGATAAATTCTTAGAAGTAGGATTCCTTATACATTTTTAGAATTTTTTTTTTTTTTTGGAGCAGAGTCTCACTCTGCAATCCTCTCACCTTGGCCTCTCAAGGGATAGGCGTGAGCCACTGCACCCCACTGAATTTTTTTTTTTTCTTTGAGTTGGAATTTCGCTCTGTTGCCCAGGTTGGAGTGCAGTGGCATGCTCACAGCCACCCCAGCCTCGACCTGCTGGGCTCAGGCGATCCTTCCACCTCAGCCTTCCATGTAGCTGGAACTACGGCGTGTACCGCCACACCCAGCTAATTTTTTTATTTGTTGTAGAGATGAAGTCTTGCTGGTTTCGAACCCCTGAACTCAGGCAATTCTCCTGCCTCAGCCTCTCAAAGTGCTAGGATTACAGGCATGAGCCATCATGCCTGGCCTATAAATAAATTTAAAATGTTGTTTGTTATTGTCAAATTGCTTTCCATAGTTGTATCAACTTCCTCTTCCCATAGTGTATGCATGTTTTGTTCCTCACAATCTTGTCCACACAATTTGTTACTAAACGTTTTGAATTTGCTAATGTTATTGATGGAAAATGTCATCAAATTGTAGTTCAGACTACTATTTTTCTTACTATGAGTAAAGTTGAGTATCTTTTCATATGTTTGAGCCATTTATATATTTGCTTCTACGAATTACCCAACCTTAAATCTTGTCCCTTTTTTGTTGAGTTTTTGAATCTTTTTCTATCGATTTATAGATCTTTACATATTAAGAAAATAAGTGCTTTGTTTATGAGATGCTTTTGCAAATGTTTTTCAGGCTTGTCATCTGTCTTTTTGACATTTTAATGGTATTTTATAAGTCAAGTTACTCTTTTCTGCTTTCTGAGCTTTTTTCATCTATTCAAAACATGTTCCACTCAAATTATTTTTTAAGTTGTCCCATATTTTCTTCTAGTAATTTTATAATCTTTTTGCAGTTAAAAATTTTTTTAAAACAAAGTTTATTAAAGAAAGAAGAAAGAAAGGGAGACATACCAAGATGCCATGGGTGAAAGAAACCACCAAT